TGAGCTGCTTAATGGTTACATACAGAATTTCCTTTTTAAGTGGTGAAAAGTTCTAAACTAGACAGTAGTTACGGTTGCGCACAGTGTGACTATTTTAAAAGCCACTGAATTGGACATTCTCAAATGGCTAAAATGGTAAATTTTATGATGTATATCTTTTAGTACAATAAAAAATGCTGGAGTCGGTTATTTTATGCTGATGCTGTTATAATTTTGGTATTTTTTTTTTTGAAAGCTTAATCTTCTTTGATATGTTTTATTTAGGTAAAATGATCCATTCTATGGTAGCTCATTTGGATGCTGTTACAAGTCTAGCAGTAGATCCTAATGGAATCTATTTGATGTCGGGAAGTAAGTCTTGAATTTCTGTACTACTCACAGATTTTATAAAAAGAATTGTTACTCAGTAACAAGCTATAATTGTTCTTTTACAGGCCATGACTGTTCCATTAGATTATGGAATTTAGACAGCAAGACATGTGTACAAGAAATAACAGCTCACAGGAAGAAATTGGATGAGTCAATTTATGATGTTGCTTTCCATCCATCAAAAGCATATATTGCAAGTGCAGGAGCTGATGCCCTTGCCAAAGTATTTGTGTGAATCCACAAAAACTCACATCATGACAAAAGATTTGCTTGGACAGAAAAAGGGTCTGCATCACTGCCATCAGAAAGGTTATTGATATAACACTACATGTGTTCTGCCTGGTGAAGGCTATTTGGGGCAGGCATAAATTGGTAGAAATCACATCTTAATGTCAGGCTCATTAATTTAATTGTAATTACTGTATTTTGTGGGACATAAAGAAAAAGGACTCCAGTATTTGTGGCCTGTACTGGATATGAACTGAGCGTATGTCTGTTTTTTAGGTGTCTCTAAGCCAATGTGGAGTCTGATCTTTCAAAGACTTTTTTTTTTTCCCCTAAAGGACTCTGTGTGCTGCCTTAGGGTTAGGAATGTGGTGCTCTTGTGGGGGAAAGTGAGCTCCAAGAGTAGCTTTTTTTCCATCTCTTAGTGATCTTATGTTTATCAGTTGAATGCCACAGATTCCCTTTTGAACTTATTTTGCTTTAAAAAAAAAAAAAGAAGAAAAAGAAAATTTAACTTAAAATATTTTAGCATTAGTTGCACAAAATGTTTGGATAAAATTCTAGTTTTTATAAGTCTTTTTATATATTTAGCCTGTCACAACAGTGCTCAAGATTGTATTGAAGTTTTTCTGCATTATACAACCCTAAACACTGAGATCTCACTGACCAGCCACCCCCTTAACCACTTTCTTTCCTCCTTTTGCCTAATACAGCTCAGCTAAGTCCTTCCATAAAGATGCTAAATCACCTTCATCATTACATAAATGTCTTCATGAACAAAGGACTATTAAGTGTATTAAAATGAAACAGTGGGGTTTAGTACTCCAAAGGAACTCTTTAAAAAACTAATCTTGGCATCCTATCACTATGTGATATTTTGTACATCTTACTGTATTTACAAGTTTATTTATCAAGGATTATCCATCTTGCTAATGGCCTATTATTTATTTCACTTTTTGTTGGTCTTTATATCCTTTTATTAATGTGCTAAAGAAACCTGTATATCTATTTTGGAACTCCTTTGAATAGTCTAAAATAGACTAAAAATGGAATATTTTATAGTTTATGTTACAAAACAAGGTGTCCCCCCCGCCAAGATATATATCTTGGTTTACCATGATTCCAAACAAAATTATCTTGTTTAAAAATATTTGGAGTAAAATTTTATTTGCATTACAAATAGGATACAAAGTAGTTCAATCAGGAAACAGAAATCTGCTGTGTTGGGACTAGTTTTCCCTGTTTTATTTTTTTAGATGTGCTTAATTTTATGGTGTAACTAAAGATTTTGTTTGTGTAATGCATGATTAAGACAATAAAGTATTTTTTCTAGTCTTCCAAAAAAAACTTTTCCGATCAGTTTGCAAGTTTTGATGAGTTTTGTAAGGGTTTTTGTTTTACAAACTATGAATCAGCAAATTTTTAAGATTGTACCACAAAGCAAACGTACAGCTGTTGAAAAATAATGTATATAAAATGCATATAATAAATATAAATTGTGTACCTGTATGTTACTGTTGGCTACATCATTTTGTGTTGAATAATAAAGTGCAATACTCTCCATAATTAAACTAGGAAATGGAGATGGTTTCTTAGTCCTTCATTTTTATGCTGTTATTTTTATACATTATTTTGCTCATTGGTATTCAATTAAGATTAGAACAGTGATGCTCTTAACTCCTTTTGAAGTATTTCACCCTATTTATTTGGTGATTTATAAAAACTATTAAAAGAAATTAGACCATTCCAAGTAACTAAAAAAAAAAAAGTAGATGCAGTTTTAAATGATGTACTTAAACATCCTGTTCTTTATTTAATCTGAATTTCAATTAATGATGGTGTCCTGTCTAGCTATACCTGTTTCACCAAAAAACATTTGGCAAAGAATAAACTTATTCATTACTTAAAGATTGTTCTTATAAATGAGATTAAGTATTAATATTCTGAAACTTTCCTTCAAAAAGTAATTATTTTACTTGAAAGGAACTACAAATGGATTTAGAAGGGGACACTAGAAAATTTACATGCAAAATCTATTTGAATGCCTGCTGCAAATGTTAAATTACATTGTGTGTGCATTGAGAAATTCCAGATAGAAATTTTAGTTTTTATCCTGAAACACTAAGACTTCTCAAAACCTTTGGAAAAAAAAATATTTTTTTCTGAACTTGAACATTCAACTAATGAACAAATTCAACCAATGAATAAAGGGGCACTTTTCTCCTGACCACCTCCTGCCTCCTCTCTCCTCTCTCCTCTCTCCTCTCTCCTCTCCCCTCTCCCTTTCCCTCTCCCATCCCCTCTGTCTCCATCCCTCCCTCCCTCTCCCTCTCCCTCTCCTCTTTAATCTCTTAAGTTTTTGCAAAGCTTGTATTGTTTCTGGCAGCTGTTTCAACCAATTGCTTTACTGCTTTAACTATAATGTGGTTATTTTCATTGCTATATATAAATATTCACCTCTTTTGGAATGTATTAAAACTGTAATGGATAAAATCAGTATATGTTTATTTTTCTCTTACCTAATTTGGTTATGTTTCTTTATAATATTAAACATTTGAAAGAGACTAAAGGGATGCAAAAAGAATTGTCTTTTATTTGTGTGCTATTTGTGACATGGAAAATAACAGATTAGGTTATGAAGTAGGACTTTATACATAAGGTTTGAGGATATTTTTATATACAAACAATATGTTGACTTTGTCATTTAATCACATTCACCCTCTTTCATATTTGTATTTTCTTATTTCAAAACTGTTATCTACTGAAAACTAACAGTACATTAAAAGTTGTAAATGAGCTAGCATATTTGAAATTTAGACATGCCTGCTGAAGTTGAATTATAATATGTTTTTAAAAATTTTTACTCCTTTTAGTTGTTAACCCTTTATCCTGATTGTTTACTCAGAGAAATTGATAGTTGCTTAAAGTTCTGATTTCTGCTCTTGCATGTTACCTCAGTAAAATATTCACTTCCCTGATTACTAAAAATTTTCTCCTTTATAGAATTAAAACACACACACACACACACACACCTTTAAACAAGAATAACTAGAAGCTGTGGCTTCATTGAAGCTTAATTTTTAATTAAGGAAGGGTACTCCAGAATGAGAATTTGTGGTCTATGTACAGTTGAAAAACCATGTTAAGTTGAATTTTGATGATGATAAAATTCTTGTTAAATTAATCCATCATTTTCAGCTTTTTATAAAGGAAGAGGAAGGAAGTTATTGTCATCTCAACCTCCATTTTATCAAACATTTGTGTAATGTCAAAGGTAATTCAAGTTCTGCCATTTCGATTTACTGGAATATATTTTTCCAGCCAATTAAAGCCTTTTTCAGGTCAATTCTTTGATTGTACAGTTTCAGTTGGAATCTGGATCTGTTTGAAGTGGGGTGGGTATAGGGTTCACAAGGAGGAACAGAACCTATTTATGGAGAAGACAGCCAAGATGGGGTGATAGAACACCTCTGTCTGTGAGGGAAAGCCCTGATGAGCTAGTATACATTAATTTTGATATTCTCCTCTTGCATCAACTTAACAAACTAGCACTAGTTACAAAACATTTGTGTTGAAGCTACTACTCAGAAGCATGTGATAGTGCTTACTTAATCTGGCAATGCCTAAAACAGTAGGCATTCAGTAAATAATTATGAAAGAATATATATACTTGGTATCATTGCACATTGTGTTCTGTGTGTGTGTTAGGAATTGAACTCAAAGGTACTTTTACCACTAAGCTACATTCCCTAGTTTTTTGTTTTTTTCCCCAGTTTTTAGATAGGCTTTCTCTAAGTTGCCCAGGCCTTCAATTTATGCAGCCTCCCATAGGCCCAGATACTATGGATACTATGTATTTAAAAAACAATTCAGATTGGTCTTTCCATGTAAATTAGTAAATATAGACTATTTACCATATCTTAGGGAGAAACACTTGGAATAATAAAAGGCAGCTTAGAATAAGTCACTAGCAATTTTATTAAGTATCCAAACTACAATACTTTTCCTGCAGTTTTGTTGTTTGAAATTTTTTTTCCAAAAACCTTACCAACTATTTTCTCAGTGCTTTGCTGTCTTTTAGAGTACGAGTCAATGTATCTCCACACATACAAAATTAAGTATATAAATAGAAAAATACCAAGCAATCCTGCTGTCTTGTTCAGTGTGATATTTTCAGTCATAAGTGACTATGAAAACACACAAAGAAGCTTGATACACAATTCCTAGCAATATAATCCACAATTGTAACTTTTTAGTATGAAGGAACAGCTATCTATATTGTTGATTGGTTTTAAGAAAATATCCACCTGGATCCAAATAGTTGAACTATGTTAAAAAGCTGGTTTCTATTGGTTTCTCTTTCATTTTCTTTATATAATTAATAGAAAATGATTAGAAAAGAAATGTTGCTTTTGGTCTAGGTATCACATTCTTTTGATATTTGACATTTACATATCTAAACATTTAATAAACATTAAAACTTTTTAGAGATTTTAATCCATATCTCCTCTTCCTGAGTTTCTAAGGGCCATAGTTATGAAGAGTCAGCCAAGTGTTTTAAATAATTGTGAAGTCTAAATTGTAATCAGAAGGTAGTAGCTTTAAAAGGATGCTTATTTGTTTAGAACAGCTGTTGACATTTAATACAAGTATGCTATAATACTATACATACTATGCTAGTATGCTGTGATATTTCATTATTGGGAATACAGTTTATACATTAGATCCTCTTGTACTTTTTCTTTCAGTTGTCAAAATATCACCATTATTGCTGGGATTCTAAGAAATCTCTACAAATGCCTCTAATGATATCAGAAACAATTGGTTCTAATCCTGTGAACTCTCTTGTGAAGAAAGCATGTGACTCCTTTGGTTTAGAGGCCATATCTTTCAGGTCATCCAGGGGTGCCCAAGCCACACCAACAGAGAAGATGGTGATACCTGCAATGGAAATAATTTAATTAAAAGCCAGTCTAATAAATATGTACAGTTATCTATATGTTTGTGTATATATTCCATATATTGGTGTATAGTTGCAGAGAAAACTTCCTAGTAATTTCTGAAGAACTAAAGTTTCCTGTATCCAATCATTAGGTAAGTTTTAACAGTCTTTTTGATGAGATTGGTAAAACAGTATGGTCAAAACCAGAAATCTTCGTCATCAGTGTAATTTAGCACATTGACATTAATGATATGAGCACTGGTACAGAAAAAATATTTGACAAACTTCATGTCCATTCACAACACAAGAAGGAATAGAAGAAAACTTTCTTAATACATATTATCTCTTAAAAGATATCCTATAGGCTAGAGATGTAGCTCATGGTACAGTGCTGGCCTAGCATGTAGAAGCTCCTGAGTTTGATCTCCCAGCATCTCACAAAGTACAGAAAAAAGTGAAAATTTCTCCTGAGATTGATGTGAGAAAGGCCTGCTATCATCACTTAAAATTAGTACATTGGAGTTCTGGCTGGCACCTTAAAGCATGAGAGAATGGCACAAGATAAGAAAATGGTGAATGTTTTCAAAGTTTACATTGGGGAACATTAACTAGTCTTCTGTAGATACCAACAATTTGTTTCCTGTATTTGTCTTGGTAGTTACATTGGCAAGCTGTCCAATCATCAGAAATTGCCAGTCTGTAATATGAAAGCAAAAATAGGGGGATGGGAGTGGGGATGTGGCTCAGTGGTAGAAAACTTCCCTGCATGTGAAGCCCTGGGTTCAATCCCTATTGCCCACCTCCAACACATACACACCAAAAAAGAAAAAAAAAATCGTGGTGATAAATTGCCAAAAAGGGGTTTCTATGAAACTGAAGTAATTTTGGTTTCATTGAAGCATTCCATCTACATTCCCTTGATTTATTATGGGGCTTTTAGTACAACTACATTTTGGTTAGGGTGATAATTATATTAGCTGAATTCACATGAATCCTAACATTGCCCTTAGAGTTTCTAGTTAATCCACTATTCAAGATTTAATTCCTTTTTTTAAAAATTTTTTTTAGTTGTAGATGGACACAATACTTTTACTTATTTTTATGTGGTGCTGAAGATTGAACCCAGTGCCTCACATGTGCAAAGCAAGCGCTCTGCATCTGAGCCACAACTCCAGCCCTAATTCCCTTTTTAAAAAATGTTATTCTAAATTGCTATACATGACAGCAGAATGCATTTCAATTCATAGTACACATATGGAGCACAATTTTTCGTGTCTATGGTTGTATACAGAGTAGAGTCACCCATTTGTGTCTTCATACTTAGGGTAATGATGTCCATTCCACCATCTTTCTTACCCTTATGTCCCCTTCCTCCCTTTTCCCCTATCTAAGGTTCCTTCATTCCTCCCATGCTCGCCTGCCCCATCCCCATTATGGATCAGCATTCTCATATCAGAAAACATTTGGTTTTTTGGGGTTGGCTTACTTAGCATAATGTTCTCTCAACTCCATCCATTTACCTGCAAATGCCATGATTTTATTCTCTTGATGCTGAGTAAGTAGTATTCTAGTGTGTGTGTGTATATATATGTATATATGTGTGTGTGTGTGTGTGTGTGTGTATATATATATATATATATATATATATATATATATATATATATATATATGACTTTTTTTTAATCCATTCATCTACTGAAGGGCATCTAGGTTGGGTCCACAATTTAGCTATTGTGAATTGTGCTGCTGTAAACATTGATGTGGCTGTGTCACTGTAGTATGCTGTTTTTAAGGCCTTTGGGTGTAAAATTCATATGCAGCAAAATGAAATTAAGCCCTTATCACTATGCATAAAAGTGGATCAAGGACCTAGGAATTAAACCAGAGACCCTGTGCCTAACAGAAGAAAAAGTAGGCCCAAACTTCCATCTTATCGGATTAGGCCCCTACTTCCTTAATAAGACTCCTGTATCTTAAGAAATAAAATTAAAAAATAAATGGGGTGGATTCAAACTAAAAGGCTTCTCAATTAAACAGGTGAATAGAGAGCCTACAGAATGGGAGCAAGTTTTTACCACCCGCACATCAGATAGAGCACTAATCTCTGAGATATGTAAAGAACTCAAAAATCTTAACACCAAAAAAACAAATAACCCAATCACTAAATGGGCCAACGAACTGAACAGACATGTCTCAGAAGATGATACACAATCAATTGACAAATATATGAAAAAAATGTTCAACATCTCTAGAAATTAGAGAAATGCAAATCAAAACTAAGATTTCATCTCCAGTCAGAATGGCAGCTATTAAGAATACAAACAACAATAAGTGTTGGCAAGGATGTGGGGGAAAATGCACACTCATACATTGCTGGTGGGACTGCAAAGTGGCAGCCAATATGGAAAGCAGTATGGAGATTCCTTGGAAGATTTCATTCTAATGTATACAGTGATAACAGTTGCAAAGACGATATAAAGCAGGATTAGGGCTGGGGCTGTAGCTTAGTGGCAAAGCGCCTGCCTAGCATGCATGAGGCACGTATATACTTACACTTAGTTTAGGAAAAAATGAAGTTGTAACCCTAAAAGCCCAATCTGATTCCTGTTTTTTTTGTGAGGAATAATTTTCATGAAATTTCAGTGTGGCCTAACCTCATCATAGGAAAGTTACACAGAAATTTAGTTCATTTTAGCCTGAATACAATCCTAAATTAGTTCAGTACACGAAGTTTGAGAAATGACAACAGGAAGGTAAGTCTTCACTTGAACATAGGTTAGTTACTTATGTGTAAAAACTACTACTACAAAGGAGATGTATAGCTTAAATTGGATGTATCCATTCTCTGTACTGCTTCAGTATTTTCATAGATATACAAGTATACAATAAACATTAAGAGAGTTCCCAACATATAGAAAAGAGGGTTTAGTCATTAGGAATTGAAGGGAAAAGGAGGTACAGAAAAGTGTAGAAGAATGCAAGGCTGTTGATTCTCCCCTCCCAACTCATTTACTTACATCTCCACAAAGGGAATCCTAGCTTTTTTTTTTTTTAATCCTCTTTGATCTCAGCAATGTATTAAAGTCTTAAGAAACATAGATCTTTTCCAAAAGTAATAATAAGGTTGGAGTGAGGAAAGTCCCTACCATTTTAAAACACAAGAGAGTGTGTTCATTAGCTCAAGAAGAAAATTTAGTTTAGATGGGATTGGGTTAAACTGTTTATTGGTGACCTTATCTTGGAAAAGTCATGCTGGACTGAAAATTTTAAAGACAAAAGTTTTAATAGTCACACAGTTGGCATGGTAAACAGTGATTATTTGGGGATATATTCCAAATTTGAGCCAAACATGAGCACCTGTAACTTAAGTCCTTAACACATGATGGTTCTCAAGACAGTTCTAATAATCCAGTAGGTTAGGAGTGTGCACTTAAGCCAGCATGCTTAGGTTTGAATCCTTGCATTGCCATACTTAACAGCTGTATCAGATTGTTTCCTTCTCTGTGGAATGAGATTAGTAGGGCTGCTCTGACAAATCAACTAATATTGGATCAAGTTCTTAGAACAATGACTGCTACACTGCAGGTGTTTGTTCAATAAAATAAATACTTTCATTTACTCCCTAAATTCACAGAACCCCTCCTCAGTTCCCTTTCCATACAAAGGACAAGGATCTTACCTGCATCATGTGCAGCAGCAGCAGGACCTCGGACATCATCATAGGACTGCCCATCTGTGACAATTACCAGGAAGTTCTTGTTGGGACTGTCCCTCACAGGACCAAACACATTTCTCACAGTAAAGGAAATGGCATCACCAGTGGCCGTTCCACCACTCATATATCGGATGTTCCTAATAACAGCAAGGATATTCTCCTTGGTGTTATAATCAGTGAAACTGAATTCTGTGCGCTGATCATAAGTGAACTGTACAGCAGCTATCTTGGCACCAATGTCTGAGATTTCAAAAGTCTTGGCTATGTTGGAAACAAATTCAAGCATCAGGCGGAAATTACTATCTCCAACGCTGCTGGAGCCATCAATTAGGAAGGCAATGTTCACTGAGTTATAACAGGTCTTGCTGCACATCATTTGCTCATGAGTACAGAGCTTCTGTACCAGAGGCTTTACATATTTTGTGGTGCCAAACCAGTTGGGCATATGGTAAGAGAAGAAGCCATTATTCCGACAGACAGCCTAATGGGGGAGACACATGAAAGATATCCAATGAGATCAAAACTTGTCTCTAAAAGTTTTGAAAATATTCAATCTTGGATGTTCAAGAGTTAATCAGGGCCAGTCAGCACCCCATGCTTAAGGTGCAAAACTGAATCAATACAATCAGAACAGAAGATGTCCCTTACCCCCTTACCTTGTCAACAAATGCAACATCCTGAACCATCCCCAATTCTTCAGGGATAGGTTTGGCCACAGAAACTATAAATACATTGACTCCAAACTCTCTGGCCACAATGCCTGCTTCCTCAATGTCATCAGAAGGCCAACCATCAATAAACACCACCACCACTTTGGGGATCCCTTTTCTCACTCCATTATCAGCTGTGAAAAATTTCTGAGCAGTATGCTTCAAGGCTTTGCCTGGGTTTAAAAAGATGCAAACAGGCAGCATTTACCACTGCTCAAATGACATTTCTATTTCCCTGTGGCAACTTGTTACTATTAAGTTTAAGAACATATATGGAACTTGATTCTATAATAGCTGCCTCAACTGGAAAAGTTTAATTATCCTTCAGGCCTATTTTTTGTCTTCACTACCCACATTACTACCCCCTTTACCTCCCAGAAGCCTCACATTTCCTTACCTCATGTCAATCACTAGTCAGAAACACAAAACTGACTCCTACTCCTGTCATGTGCTTTCTTGCCCGTTGGTGAATGACAGATGAGTACCTCTAAGAATCAGGAACAATAAGTTCTCTCTTCAGAGGGTCAATTGTCTAATTCTTTCTGCCACATCTGCATTCATTAGATAAGTCTGTTAATCTTTGCTTCTTTTTACCAGTATAGTGATATCCAGCCTATCTCATATAAAGATTATAAATGAATGTTTTAGGTTTTTTAAAATAAGAACTATCAATTAACACCTTGGTATATTTCCCATTATAAATTGAATATTTATCTCAGGTGATCAGATGCAGGTCTAGCTAAGATTCCAGTACCAGGAGGAAGAGTTTTACAACAGTTCATATAAAATGGCCTAACACTGTTTCACATGTCTGATCACTAATAACTCTTCTATATTACATCCTGGGTGTCCAAGTCTACTTACCTGTATTGGAATTACCTCCTCTGAAACCTACTTCCTTTATGGCAAACAAAACATCTTTGGCTGATGTGAAGTTTTTCAAATAAAACTCTATCTTGGGATGTTCACTATGATTTAAAAAAAAGATATTATCCAATAAGTATTGGGAATGTTGAGAAGGTAATAAGCCACATTAGATGCCTTAAAAAAAGTTTGTAAATCAGACAATACCCTTTGTGGTACTAGGGATTACACCCAGCAGCACTCTACCTGTGAGCTACATCCCCATTCCTTTTTTTTTAAGATTAAAAAAAAATTTTTTTTAGTTGTAGATGGACACAATACCTTTATTTTATTTGCTTATTTTTATGTGGTCCTGGGGATCAAACCCAGTGCCTCAAACATCCTAGGCAAGTGCTATATCACTGAGCGACAACCCCGGGCCCCACTCCTTTTTAATGAGACAGGGTCTTGCTAAATTGCCCAGGCTGGCCTCAAACTTTTGACCTCCTGCCTCAGCCTTCCTGAGTAGCTGAGATTATAGGCATGTGCCCCCTATGTTTCTGTTTTAATCCCACAGTATATAGTCAACTAAGACACTGCATCCTTTCTTGAATTTTTGAGGATATTTTAAAAATATAAGTACAATTTTTTTAGAGAGAGAGAGAATTTTTTAATATTTATTTTTTAGTTTTCTGTGGACACAACATCTTTGTTTGTATGTGGTGCTGAGAATCGAACCCGGGCCACACTCATGCCAGGCAAGCGCGCTACCGCTTGAGCCACATCCCCAGCCCCATAAGTACAATTTTTAAAATATGGCAAATATGATTGCTACATTGGGGGTTTATTCTGAGTAATAAACTGATACATATCACATGTACAATCTCATTTCATCTTAATTTAAAAGTAGATTATTATCCTGACTCTATAAGTGGAAAAACTTAGGTCAGAGCACTCAGGTAATTTGCCCAACAAAACATAGCTGCATTTTAAATTTAGGGGTTGTCTGGCTGGCTCCAGAGTTTATTCCAAGACAATATGAAGCACCTGAAATTGGGCTTGGCTCAGGGCACTGGGTTTAATGGAAGTCTGCATTTTTGGGCACCAGGTATCTGGGAAACAGCTGCAGGTGAGACTGGGTCTGCTCCAGTGAGGAAGCCTGGAAGCACTGAACAATCTTGGGTCTCGTACCCAGGTCTCTTCCATAGAGAGGGACAAGTTCAATGATACTAAGGCCAACATTTTTTTTAAATGGAAAAAGTTACAAGGAAATGAATTATATTATGACATTAACTTTTGCTTATAATAAATGATAATGATATTTGCTGATCTTAAAAGTATATGTATTGTGAGAGATTTTAATACAAAATAGCTGGGCATGGTAGCATGCAACTGTACGCCCAGCTGCTCAGAAAGCTGTATGAATCTTCTGAATCTTTTGAGTCCAGGACAGAGTGGAATCTTTTGAGTCTAGGACACAGTGGGTAATATAGTGAGACCCTGAATCAAGAAAAAAATAATATTAAAATTAATATTAAAAAATTGGGGGCTGGTAGAGCACTTGCTTGGCACATGTGAAGCACTGGGTTCAATCCTCAGCACCAACCACATAAAAATAAATAAATAAATAAATAAATAAATAAAGGCATTCTGTCTATCTAAAATTTAAAATATTTTTAAAAATTTCATTTCTCTCTGTGTGTGTGTGTCAAGTGCTCTAACACTGAGTTACATCCCCCTACTCTGTGTATATTAGAGACCATGTTGAGTAAATACAAAGTACAATTTATTATATTTCGGTTTTAGATCAGCAGTATTTCATAAGTGCAAAAGTTTAAGATCTCAGCATTATCAGTAGCTTAAGTCAAAACTTTTTAAGGGCTGGGCACAGTGGCGCACACCTGTGATCCCAGCAATCTCGAATTCAAAGCCAGCCTCAGCAACAGCAAGGCACTAAGCAACTCAATGAGATCCTGTCTCTAAATAAAATACAAAATAGGGCTGGAGATGTGGCTCAGTGGTCCAGTGCCCCTGAGTTTAATCCCCAGTACAAAAAAAAAAAAAAACCTTTTGAGGGACAAGAATAGCACTAATTATATTTCTGTATATCTGGTAGTTTGATTTCTGCACACCTGATAAAATGTTGGGTCACAAAATCAGATTTCATGGCTTGATAACCTTTTCACTTTTGTAGTTACTGTTCAACTATCCAAATTATGATTACGAGGTCAGTCATATTTTGCATCCTTAATGATACATTCTGTTCTTCAACTTAAATATAGACTATTGACACAGTTTTTCTAAAATTTCTTTCTGAAGTACAAAAGCTAGAAACCGGGAAGTTTATAAGAAGCTGGTCTTTGTGTCTACACAGTAGTGTAGCTTTCCCCTTAAAAACTAATTGGGTCAAATTAACCCAAAAAGTATAGGAAATGAACTGCATGGGAATTGCCTGATGGGATATTAAACTGTACAATAAAACCGTTATAATAAAAACAATGTAAAAATGATGTAAGAATTAGCATAAGAGCTTGGATGCCTATAATCCCAGCTAGTGGGGAGGCTGAGGCAGGAAAATCATAAGTTTGTGGCCAGTAACTTAGTGAGACTCTGTCTCAAACAAAAGAAAAGGAAAGGGAAAACAAAACAAAATAAAAAAAGATTTAGCATTTGGATCAAAGAAATAGACTTGCCCAGGGGCTGGGGTTGTGGCTCAGCGGTAGAGCGCTCGCCTAGCATGTGTGAGGCCCTGGGTTTGATCCTCAATACCACATATAAATAAATAAATAAATAAAATAAAGTTATTGTGTCAACTACAACTATATATATATATATATATATATATATATTTTTTTTTTTTTAAGAAATAGACTTGCCCAAACTTGTACATAAAAATGATACCACAGTACTGGAAGTGTGGCTTAGTGGTCAAGTACTTGCCTAGTATGTGAAAGACCCTGTGTTCAATCCCCAGCACTATAAAAAGAAAAAGAAAAAGAAAAAATATACCACAAATAAAGGAATTAGGAGCTCTTTTTTTTTTCTTTTTTGAGATGAAGGACAAATTATTAAATTGTATGAAAATTAACAGACATGGCTGGGTGTGGCAGCTCACATCTGTAATCCCAGTGGCTCGGGAGGCTTACGCAGGAGGATGGAGACTTTAAAGCCAACCTCAGCAACTTAGCGAGGCTCTAAGCAACTCAGTGAGACCCTGTCTCTAAATAAAATACCTTAAAAAGGGGCTGGGGATGTGGCAGCTCAGTGGTTAAGTGCCCCTGAGTTCAATCCCTGATACAAAAAAAAAAAAAAATCAACAGTCATCTCACACCAAACACACATGCATGCACACACAACTACATAATTAATTTAGTTTATCTAAATAAACTAAAAGTGAAGCCAATTATGAAAAATAACCTAACAAAATATGAGTTACTGTTTGCAATAGTACTGGTGACACCTTTATACGCTAATAGTAGTTTAAGTTGGTTCAACTTTCTAGAAAGCAATTCTATTTCAGAAACCTTCAAAATGTCAGAACTAACACGTAGAATTCTAGCCTAATGAAATCATCAGAGATGGACACAAGGATGAAGAAAGGATGCTCATCACAGTGTAGTGTTCAATGGTGAAAAAACAATAGCATGGTTAGGTAACTGTACAAAGGAATATTATGAAACATTTTTTTTTTTTTGATGAATGCTTGTGATGAGAAAATGCTCAAAATACTGAGGGATGACAGGATACAAGACATTTTAAATGACCAACCTTTTTAAAAATTTATATATCAAATATTTTCTTAAAGGAAACAGAAGTTTTTATAATGACTATCTCTGGGACCTATGATCTGAGAAATTTCAAGCTTGCTATAATGAGTATACTGTAATTCTAAAAGACATCATAGCTATTATTTTAATATTAAAAGATCTCCAAACCAAGGGAATATAGAAAGAGCTAAGCAGAATAATGGCAGAATAGGAAAGAGAAATGGACAAATTATTGTTTCTTCCTTTTGAAAAGAGAAACTTGGAATTAAGCAGAGTAGATAGATGTGACTGGTGATTTATGTGAGCAACAAGACCTTTAAGCTCACCTTCTGGTCTTTATATATAGATAGCATATCATTTTCCAATCCTTTTGTTCCAAAAAGGAGGCACTCAGACCTAATAGTCTGCCCAGATGTTTTTCTTTCTTTTTATTTATTTATTTATTTTTGTTACTTTTGTTGCTTTGTTTGTTTTCTTTTTTTGCATTGCTGGGGATGGAATCCACAGCCTTGCACATGTTAGGCAAACACCTGCCCGGTCAGTCTTAAATCCTAAGTGTATAGTTTGAAAATTCAGCTTGTCCACAACTCAGTATGTTTACATGGAGCTCATGATTGTATCAGAATGATAATTCATCATCATTCAAGATATCAGTCACCTCCCGTTTTAAACAAGTTGGTACCTGGCTTGAACAAGACCCACGTGTGGTCCCTCTGTTCCAATTCCCAACATCAGAGCCACTTTCCCAACAAAATTCTTCTGTAAATTAAATCTGCGCTGCCCAATATTAAAGCTTCCATCAATCAGAAAGGCAATGTCTGCTTTACAGTCTGTGGATAGTCAAACAAGTCCTTTTGTTAGCAGTCACAAGAGGAGGCAGGGGAAATGCTATTTACTCAAATGGATGTCTCATTCTTACCTTTATTGCCAGTTTTCTTCTCTGGTGTTTTCTTTAGTCGTTTGCCTAAAGTAAAGGGAACACTTAGAATAAGCAAAAGAAACTTTCAGAGCAAGAAGCTCACATGGGGGAAAAGCTCACAACAAAGAATGTCATTCTTGTAAAGACTTTTTTTTTTTTTTTTAAGTTACTTGCCTCATGATTTCCTGGGCCAGGAAGCAATGCCCAACAAAGAAATAAGACAGGACTGTTATAGGCCTACATATTTGATGTATCTCTGATTCAAGAATTTGATATCTCAAACTTACAGTGGAGTCAGATTGGTAAATAAGAACTTAATTTTCTTAATGATTTTTAAAAATATCTTCGTTTTTATTTATTTTTGTATGTGGTGCTGAGGATTGACCCTAGGGCATCACCCATGCGAGGCAAGAGCTCTACAACTGAGCTACAACCTCAGGACCCTTAATTTATTTTATTTTATTATTATTATTTTTTTTACTTTAAAATGACTATAGTTTAGTGGGCTGGGGCTGGGGCTGGGGCTTAGCGGTAGCGCACTTGCCTGGCATGTGCGAGGCACTGAGTTCGATTCTCAGCACCACATATGAATAAATAAAATAAAGGTCTATCAACAACTAAAAATATATTTTTAAAAAATTAAAAAAAATAAAATGATTATAGTTTATAAAAGGGGATCCTGGCTTTTTTTTTTTCAGTACACACTAATTCCTTTTATTCATATGACAGTGCAGTAATTAAGGAATAAAGTAAATGAAACTAGAAATAAGTTCATGGTACTTTGACCATTTCCTAGGCATGGTCTGTCAGATCAGAGAAAAGGTAGGACTTCAAGAGAATGATTGGTAGTAGAGATGATAATTGAAAATATAAGAAGGGATCTGAAATACAAAATTTAATGTTTCTGTCTGCAATATGTCAGTAAACAGATTTTACTTTATAATATCAATCTTTAACATCACATTTTAAAAGGAAAGCATCTACCAATAACACGTTTATTTGTAACTGCCAAATGCTCTGTCAGGCAACTAGGAGACAGGTTCCACATTTCATACCTGTTGATGGACGTGCTGTGGACACTGCCTGTCCTGTGGCTTCCTGAGCACCACTTTTGCCTTCTGTTAAGATAAAGAGAAGTCTATTTTTTCTTCCTTTTTAATATTAAAGCATTATAAATCTTATTTAGAATTCTGAATAATAAATACAACAGGGTGATGGTGATTAAGGACATAAACTGCATGCTAGTATCAGAGAACCAAAATGGATTCTTTTCTATTACATTTGAAAGGATCACAGTTTGAAGGGATTTGCAGTTTAGTGTCACATTGAGTTTTTTCACATTCTGAATGCAGTCAATTCAAATTTGTATTGCCATTGTCTGAGAGCAAGATCATTCTTCCCCCATTCACCCAAGTTTGGAGGCTGAAGTGATATATGACCCTTCTGGTCTCCTGACTCTGTCCCATAGTTGAACTCTTCTTGACCACAGGTTTTTCTATCAGAATTAAAGAAGTTGGACTAAGAAACAGGAAACTTTTTGAGGGGGGAGGGGCATTGGGGGCAATATTTATAAGTGAGAACAATATAATTGTACCTACTAGTCACTGTGAAAGAAGCAGACCACCTGGAAAGCATCTGAGACTGGATGCCATTGGCATCTACAGAGGAATAGTTTTCTCGGCCAGGTAGGCTATAGATGCGTACAGGTCCTCCTGAGATGCTGATTACTCCCCTGCAACACGAGAGGAACAGTTGAGATGCCATCCACACCTTTTCAGGGCATCAGGCTGACATATAGTGCCATGTTGCATCTATCACTCTGATTAATCAAGAAAACTATTCAGCAGGGAAATCGAGTGCTGCCAGTCTTCTAAAAACTTGCTTACACAGGAACAAAATCTGCCTGAGGAAATGGTTTTGTGCTGTTGAACTTCCTCAGTGTTGATGAGAATACGCTTGTAGGATCCTATTCCCTACCACTCAGAGATTGAGTTAATAAAACAATTTTCCTAAGTTACTCTAACTACATGATCTTGCACTGAATTTTTTTTTAAAGTGTCCTATCGACTGCAGGATATTGTTTAACACTTGTAAAACAACAGTGACCTTGAGCAAAATTCTTGACAAACTGAGTTCAATTTTCTAAACTGTAAGATTGAGTAGAACTGTACCTGCCTTGTAGACTAGTGGCAAAGTTAAAATGATGGCTGGCACAGTGAAAGCTCCATAATACATGACATGATTAGAAATGTTTTAGAACCACAAAATCTAGCCATCAAAAAGTAATGCAGGGATGGGGCTGTAGCTCAGTGGTAGAGCATTTGCCACACAAGTGTGAAGCATTGGGTTTGATCCCTAGCACCACATTAAAAAATGAATTGATAAACAAAGATATTGTGTGTCCATCTACAGCTAAAAAATATTAACAAACAAACAAAGAGCTAACGCAATCTGCCGTTTGTTAGAAAGCTTCCTTTGTATATTTGGTGTTTCAGGAAACTTTAAAACTTTAAATATATCTATATTCTATGGCCAAAACTGGCACCAAATAAAGTGAGGGAGGAAAGAGGTCCAGATGCTTAAAGTGGGAAAGAAAATAATTTATGCTTGTATCCCCCTCTCCCCCTGGTGTATGGGCTTACCTGTGGATAGCAGCCCCGCATATGCTTGATACAGAAGCATAAACTATGTTCCCAAACACAGAGAATTCCTCAGGAGGGCAGCCACCTGGGCAAAGGACATCTGCTTTCTCTTTCCTGATGTCCAAGCCTCTGGTAAAGCATGTGATAGCAATAGGAACTGAAGAAATAGGAGGGAATGTAATAAGCATCCTTGGGACTTCTTTGGGAGCAATGGTGGGGAACCAGCGGATGAGAGTTAAATTTTACTTCCCTAGTTTCTACACCATTGACACATGTACCATTTTACACCATTCCCAGATTTTAATAAGTGAAAAGTTGGTTTTCTAGTTTAATTTACTCCCCAGCCACTAGAGAAGTCTAACGTCATAATTTTCTCAGTTCTTAATCAGTTTGGAAATACATTGGATCTAGAAAATAGCATTATTCATTGAACATTTATTCATTCCAGAAACAGAAATCCAACTCTGAGGAAGTTATGTTCATGGTTGACATGATGTGTTGGTAGTGAATCCAAAATGAGCCTTTCTGGAACATTTTCATAGGTATATGTAAAATTCTCTCTAAGCTACCTTTCCCTTCACAGCAACATTTATCCAAGTTGCCCTATAAATAAAGAGCCTTAAAATCACAAGTTCCCTTAAATAAACCAGTAATATGATGCTTAGATTGACAGAATGTTGTTTACTTCAATCATTTATTTTACAGATGAGAAAACTAAACCATGGGGTTAATTTGCCCAAGGAACATTCTACAACTTCCAAAAGACAGGACACAAGGAAGTTAGTCCCATCAGAATGGAGCATTTTTATCTTAATTGAACCTGATTATTTCTGCTCCAGATCTGTCCAAAGAAATATTTCAGGCAGTGAATGCATTTTTAGAAAGCACTGTTAATATGCTCAAGTTTTGCACTGTTAACCTGACTAATAAAGAATCAAAGTTTTTACTATAAAAGACACTAGGTAATATGTAACCCTCAGTAATACGTAACAAGATAACAATAAGAAATGTTAATTGGTCCATTTACTGTAGATATTAAATTGAGATTAACATTACTAAATGCATTTTCCAAACACAGGAAAATGGCCTCTAAAACTTTTTGAAACAGATTTTTCAAACAAACAAACTCTCCTTTTTCCAAGAGAGGAATACTGTCTGGTCACATTGCCCAATTGAGTAGCTTGCCTCTAACAAGGACCCTCTCTGTTTCCTCCGTGTTGAGCTGAACGTGTGGACTGGAAGAGAAGGAGAATGGCAGGTATACGCTGAGCTCAGAGCTCAGACCTCTAGAAAACTGCGAAGTTAAAATCCTTACCGAAAACAGGAGCCTCAAACCTATTATCAAACAGCCCCAATAGTATTTTCGGCTGGTAGGGACAATACTGGAATTGGGCGCAGAGACTGCCTTCACCTGCTAATGCGACTTTACTGGGGGAAGGAGTGAGAAATGCAGCCGGGTGCAATACTTAACCTCATTTCTACTTTCATGGAAAACAACAGATTTTAGAAAATACACGGAACCACACACTCCAATACTCAGACCTCTACACGTGAAACAGACTTTTTTTAGTCTTTCTCATATGCGAATGGGACCACAACTCTGCTTTTTCTAGGGATTACACCTGAAACACAGGTAGGAGGTAAATCAAGGTAGGATAACGACATGAGCCTCCCCGTCTCTCGGCTACGAAAACTTGAAGGTTTCTCTGGACCCCAAACGCAGCGGAACCGCCGGAACTAGTGTGCCCCTCAGTGGGGATCAACAGGTACCCCTGCTTGGACCTTTCCTGCTGGCGCTCTGGTCTGGAGCTCGGTGGGATGGGTGGGCATGGAGAGAGGCTTTCTTCTCTGAGCCAGGGAAAGAACGTTCTCACCGTACCCCCAGAGAGCCCCTCGCGCGGGAGAACAGGTAAGCCAGAGCAAACCCAAGGTCGGGGTGAATGCTGGCGAGCCAACTAGCGGCTCGAACCTTCGCGTCCTCTGCCTCTTCCCCTGGAGCCAAGGTGCAGGGGGGTCGATCTGATGATTCTCGGTTGACCCTCGGCTCCTCCGACCTCCAGGTCCGAGCCCTCCTTCCTTGACCCGGGAACCCACAACTCACCTGGTCCCTCGCTGCCCGCGGGTTCCGGCAGCAGCATCAGACAGATACCTACGAAGAGAGGAAAGCGCGAGGACTGGCTCCAGCCTCCACCCCACTTGGCGCGAGGGGAAGCGGGGCGGTGAGGGACGCGTACCCACCGAGACAGAGAACTATGATCCAGGCTGCAGACATGGTGGTTGAGGGACTGTTCGGACCTGGGAGAGAGCAAGACTGTGAAGGAGGCTAGAGTGGGGGAAGGGGCCAGTGCCCAGCTCACGACGCCCGCCCGCCCCCTCCTCAGAGACGTCTTTCCCCTAGTAAACCCGGGGACCGCGGAGGATGGGAGGGGACCCACGAGCCGCTGCTCCCGGACCAGCCCCTCTAGATCTGAAGGCGGCACTCCGGCTGCAAATCGGGCCAAACCCAGAATCGATGTGCAACCCCAGATTGGGGTTGCGGGGTGGTGGGAGGGATGGCGCCAATATGAAGACAAACAGACAAGCTAGGAGCGACAAAGGAGAGGCAGGAACTTGCAAGCGCCACGGATCCCACCCGCGAGAGCCGGCCGCCCACAGTCCTGCACCTGCGTGGGATCCGCCCGGCTGCGCTCGAGTGCGGAAAGCGCAGCTCCCCCGGCCGCTATAAAGGCTGGGTCGCGCGCATGAGCACTGTGTGGGGGGCACGCGGGAGGGAGCTGGGAGCCGGTCCCCCGGGGCCGGGCGGTGGCAGTCCAGCTCCTCCCTCACCCCCTTCCGGCCCCTGGGTGAGGCCGGCGCGGAGGCGCCTCCCACCCGCGGAGTGGATTTCGGCCACCTGGACGCGGCGTCTGATTGTCCCTAAGGGAGAAGAGAAGGTCCGGGTCAGAGTCCCTGGGGGCCCCGTGGGCCCGGTGGGACTTGGCGTCGGAGGGAGTGTGGGAGCGCAGCGGGAAGGGCACCTAGGGATGTGCGCTCAGGCCAGACGGCACCCGACGTGCAGGTTGTCCGACTTGCCTCAACCGCGCCGCGCAGCCCTGCGGGGGTCTCACCGCCGGCCTCCGCTGCCTCCACCCAGGCTGGAGATGACACTCCCCCACGCACAGTCCCAGACCTTGGGAGCCGCAGCATTGCCGGAACCAAGGCGGCTGAGGTAGCATAGGGCAAGCTGCTGGCCTCCTAGACGCCTGGGCTCCGGAAGAAATAGTGGACCCTCTGGGCCTAAGAGCAGATCTTCCCACTTCGCTCTCTAAACTCCTGCTTCTAAAGTAAAACCAACCTGGATTTGGTGAACGCAGGTCCCGTATTTGTTAGAAAACCTGTCAACTGACTGGTTGTTCTTTGGAGATTCTGCTGGGACTCCAATTTTCCTCAGCAGTCTCCATTTACTGTAATGGATAGTAAGGCCTTCAGGCAGCAGTTACATTTGCCATTTCTTCTTCTTCTCTAGATGGGTAAAGTTATATCTGATTGCCTTTCCAAACTTCTAGGTCTGGTAGCGTGATTACACACTGTCTCATATTTGGTAATGGGTCATCCTCCCTTACTTCAATTCTGGGAGAAACAGCGGGATTCACAGGGAACTTGGTGACAGTCTGAGGAACGACCCCCCAAACCTGCATAGTCACTTACTTCCTGGTACTACATCCTCCTAACCCCCAACGGCTTTATTTAGTTATTGTTTATTTGCCACAGATCCATCTATTTTAAGGATTTTTAAAAAAGGAAAGATTTTTAGTTTACAAAATTGTTTAGCCCTCAATATAATTCAATTTTAGAACATTACCACCGCCCCACAAATGATCCCTCCTAGTCACTGACAACCAATGCCTTTCTCCAATGCTAAACAACCACTCATCCAGCTTCTCTCCCTATAGATTTGCCTTTTATTGGCATTTCATATAAATGGAATCATACACTGTGGGCTTCTTACATTGAGCATGTTTTTGAGGTTAATTCTTGCTGTAGTGCATATGAATACTTCTTTCCTTTGTAATGCTTAACAGTGTTCCCTTCTCATTTTATATTGAGAAACTAATATACCACCATCACCTGGAAGTCAAAGAGTGCAGGATTTTTACAATCATCTTTAAAAAAAAAAAATATATATATATATATATATATATATATATATATGTATATTTTTAGCTGTAGATGGACATAATACCTTTATTTATTTATTTATCTATCTATCTGTCTATTTATTTATTTTTATGTGGTTGGTGCTGAGGATCAAACCCAGTGCGTCACACGTGCTAGGTGAGCACTCTGCCACTGAGCCACAGCTACAGCCCACAACCATCTTTTTGATTGGAATGATTTGGTCTTTTTACCAGGCAACCAGAGTGTATTGATTTCATTCCTCTCACTATCACATAACATTTTGTGGGCTGGGAAGTTTTAATGCTTCTTTTCATGACTGCTTTAAAAAATTGGTCTCTTCCATGGTACAGAGAATTACTCTATTTTTAGAAATCCAGTAATCTGGCCACCATCCCATATGTTCCTTGGTTGAATTTTTCATTATTATTTGAGTGTTCTCAATCGGGATTGGATAATTTGGTCCAGTTAGCCTGGGCAAATTGTCATGGTGCTGTATAGTTAAGGAGAGGTCACATACAGAAAGAAACAAAACAAAACAAACGAACAAAAACTACAGCTACTGCACAGCTCAGCAGGCAAGTGCCCAACAGGCAAGTGCCCAACAGGCAAGTGCCCAACTGGCCAAAGTGATACGTTCTATTCAGAACCCCACAGAGCATAGGCAGCCCTCCTGTGATGTAATATCATTGAATGATTTGGCAGAGTCAAAACTATGCAGCTATTTCCATCATAGACCCTGAGACTGTGACTATTAAAAAATAAAGGAAATAGCTCATTGAATTTCATGGTTGTTTATCCCGAGAGTCATTTTAATTATTTTGTTTTGAAACATTTAAGGAAAGTTAGCTTTTATTTATTTATTTATTTTTCTTTTGGAAAGGCCAACCATGGAGGGCGGAGGAATGGGGAGAAGAGTTCTCATTTTCAGTTAGTTTGTACCTCATGCTCATCATAAGTATGTTGAGGAAAAATATTTGAATTTAAGAGGCAGTTACCTGCTTTGGAAACATCTGGAGAAAAGAGGAAAGTCAAATCTGGGTGTATTTGCCTGAAAAAGACAACCTGTTAAAATTATAGAAGTTTTAATTCAATTGTGTGACATTACAGTATATTATACTGCTAGGATGCCTGGATAGTTTATCCTCCTTTAAATTAAGTGTATTTTTGGGGTTGGGGTTGTGGCTCAATGGTAGAGCACTTGCCTTGCATATGTGAGGCACTGGGTTCGATTCTCAGCACTGCATATTTTTAAATGAATAAAATAAAGGTCTGTCAAAAACTAAAAAAAATTTAAAAAAGAGCATTTGGTGTTCAAAATTTAGAATAACTCTCTGTAGAGCAGTTGATTTCTAGCTAGTCTGCACATTGGAACCACTAAAAAGGGCTAATGTCATGGTCCCACCCCAGAGATTCTATTGTAATTGGCCTAGGGTGGGACCAGAGCATGATGAGGTCACCCCCCCCCCACGTATTTTTTTTTATTGGTGCATTAAAATTGCACATAATGATGGGATTTGTTATTACATATTCTTACATGCACACAATATACCAATGTAATCTGGCCAGTATCACTCCCTAGCACTTCCCCCTCCTTTTCCCACCTCCCACCTCTTGGTCCGTGCAGCAGTCTGGCTGGCTGGGCAAAATAACAGGGGGGTGGGGGGGGGGCGCGAGCAACTTGTGTACATTGATACAGCAGGAGTAGGAGCCATTTATTGTAGGACAGGAGCGGTATATATACATTCCACACAGCTTATCTTAATTAACATAAACTCGGTACAGCAGTCAACCAATAAGGAATCTCCACACTTAATGGCTCGCTGGCATTACTTCATAAACCACTCCCTCTGGCAAAATGCCAGGCGCCATCCAGACTTGTTTACAGACTCTAACAGGTCCGTTTCCTTTTCTGATCTCCCTTTAGTTTTCATGAGATACCTGCCCCCACCCCCGCTTTCTTTTTCCTCTCTGGCTTCCACATATGAGAGAAAATATATGACCCTTGACCACTTGAGTTTGGCTTATTTTGTTTCACATAATGGTCTCTAGTTAAATCCATTTTCCTATAAAACACACAATTTCATTTTTCTTTAAGGATGAATAAAACTCTGTTGTGTACATATACCACATTTTCTTTATCCATTCATCTGTTGATGCACACCAAGGCTGATTCCATAGTTTGGCTCTTGTGAACTGTGCTGCTATATAAACATGGGTATACACGTATCATTGTAGTATGATGACTTTAATTCTTTAGGATAAATACCAAGGAGTGGTATTGCTGGGTCATATGGTGGTTTCATGCCTAGGCTTTTGAGGAAACTCCATACTGATTTCCACAGTGGTTGTACTAGTTTACCATCTCACCAAGAGTGTGAAAGTGTTCCTTTTCTTCCATATTCTCTCCAGCATTTATTATTATTTGTATTCTTATTTTATTTTATTTTTGGTACCAGGATAGAACCCAAAAATAAAATAAAATAAGTGGTTAACCACTGAGCAACATCCCAACACTTTTTATTTTATTTTATATGTCTCACTTGAGACAGGGTCTTGCTAAACTGGTTAGGTCCTCCCTAAATTGCTGAGGCTGGCTTTGAACTTGTGATCCTCCTGCCTCCACCTCCCGATCTGCTGGGATTATAAACGTGAGCTAAGGGCTCAGCTCATTATTTGTATTCCTGATGACTACTGTTCTGACTGGTGTGAGATGAAACCTCAGTATAGTTGTTTCCTCCTCCTCCTCCCCCTCCTCCTCCTCCCCCTCCTCCTCCTCCTCCCCCTCCTCCTCCTCCTTCTCCTTCTTCCCCAGGGATTGAACCCAGGAGCACTCAACCACTGAGCCACATCCCCAGCGCTATTTTGTATTTTATTTAGAGACAGGGTCTCACTGAGTTGCTTAGCACCTCGCTGTTGCTGAGGCTTTGAACTCTGGATCTTCCTGCCTCAGCATCCCTAGTTGCTAGGATTACAGTGTGCTACTACGCCCAGCTTGAGTTCTTTATATATTCTAGATGTTAATCCTCCATCAAAAGAGTAGCTAGCAAAGAATCTGTAAATTCTCTTTTCTTGGTCCTAATTGCTTCCTTTGCTGTGCAGAAGCTTTTTAAGTTG